ATATATATATATATATATATATTATATTTACAATATATATATATATATATATATTTATATATATATTTACAAAGTTTTATTTCGTATCCATAGAAATTGAAGAAAATGTCAATTTTAACGATTTTTCTCAAGATCTGCTAGACTTATACAAATGAAGCTTAAGTGCATGGTTAGAATTTCAAACCCATTAACATAGGAAAAGTATCAAATGAAAACATTATAATCAGGTTAGGCCGACTCTTAAATACTCTACATCATCTAGTCATCGCAAAGCATATTTTTGCCATAGACCAGAAAAATTGTACGATGTTTTTATATGAACTCACTATTATGGAACTGTATATTCAAAGTTAGATCCCTTTGCAACCAAAAGGCTTACTCTCCGTAAGAGTTGCCGTAGTTGCTCCCAAGTGGTTCAAAAATTGTGCTTCGTATTCAAAATGCAGTATAACTTTCTCAATTTTCTTTAGAAAATATTAAAACTTAGACTTTTCTGCCATAAAAAAAATTTTTTTCTTAATAATCCTTACATAGAGTAAGATCCAAAAATAGGCGTAGATCGTCAAAATTTTGTTTCATTTCATTTTTATATCAAATCGCTTTTATAGGTTAATTTTCAACATAACATATTAAAATTTAGATCTTTCTGCCCTATTAAGGTTCAATTATCTTAAATTATTACTATGATCTGATTTTCATTATAAAGAATTGAAAATAAGACAGTTTCGCCATATGAATTGAAGTTTTCGGTATGTGAGAAGGGCTTGAAAAAGTTGCTCGAGCCGTTTCAAAATTTTCACACCAATAATACCCATAATGCCGAAATATTGTTAAACAGCTCCTTTTGTCTGACTCGATCGGTGTAATAAAAGTTGGGTTCCTTTTAAGCGCTTCTGGGTGTTATATATATCCGCAGAAGCTTAATACTCTTCGCGCCACAAGTAGTATAGGATGTAATTATCGGCTCTCACTAAAAATCGACATTTTTGCATCGAAATCAGATTCCAATTGCGATCATTAATATATATGTAAACCAGGTATGGGTCAGCCCATAACTCGATTTGTTCTCGTATAGCAATGCTGTAAACGAATTGTATCTGCCCCTCACCACCGCCGCAACTCTGCAGCCGTCATGTATGAAATGTGCCGTGACATGAATATTAAAATTGGTCTGCAGATGAAGAAAGTTGCCCATCCCTGATCTGATGTGGATCATAATTTTTACATAAATATTGAAAGGAAATTTATTTTAAATACAAATACATATACATCCTATGTGTGTGCAAGAAAAGGCATATGCAACGCGTCGTTCAACTTGTTTTACAATCGCATCAAATAAGGTAAGCAAAGTTTATCAAGGCATACGTGTTTTGCCAAATTTGAGTGATTCAAGAATTTCCAATTATTTATTGCGGAACTATTTGCGGAAATCCAATCTGTACAACTTTTTATGCAGTAATAAGTACGTTTTGTCAATGTGTTTGTAACATACTGAAATTCTCTTCCAAAGTTTATATACTTTCATCTAAAATGCTATCTAAACAATTTCTAATTCATATAATCGTCTAACCGCGGTCGAAAGATCGCGAAAATTGTGGCAAAAAGCTTATCTTGCTCAAGGGACGTAATTTGAAACTCATATGTTTGCTTGCACACGCAAATCGATGAAAATTTCTGATTTCAAACTTTTTTCTCAATAATTTACGAACTTTAGTAGCTACACGTGAAGAAAAAAAACATTTATCAGTGAACGTAAAAGCACGCTATAGCAATGTACCCGCTTGGCCTATGGACAAATACATTTTGTTTCCCAATTGAAGTTTCAACTTTGATTATGAAATGTATCGAAAAAGTGACTTAACGTAAAGTCTTTACGTACCTATTTAGAAATACTTAAACATATTTGCTTAATTGAAGAGAAATGATTGAATATTGAAATTCATACGATATGTATGACAAAAACCTACAAATAAAGTTAAATTTTCCCAGAATGGCTAACAATTGCGAAATAAGTTATACATAATATTAACGAATAAAATTTCGAAATTCGATAAGCGATAAGCGATAATTAAACTTTAAATTAAGTTCGAAGACCCGATACAATCAATTTATGTTGCTTAATACGAAAGCGATTTGAAGCAGAGCTATTGAGGAATCGTGCAAAGTCTTTGTCGCTCAATTTTCCTCTTACCTGGTGGGCAGAGGTAGGCGCGATTAACACATGCCCTGTCCGTAGAAGTATGATATTGATTGCAATTTACACACCAGCCCCAGCAGCAGCTCAAACAGCACATTTCCTCTTTACGATAATTTTGACAGTGGAATTGTCCCCTGTATTTTTCAGCTTCCGGGTACAGTCCCGGCCAATGAGGATATAAGATAGTAGGATAATACTCTGGCACAAAACATTTAAGCGCATTGTATCGTTTTCAAAATGTGTTGTATTTTTTAGCAATTTTTTTTTTTTTTTTTTTACGTCACTGAACTTACTGCCGGGAACCATGTCTTCGGCTCTCCTCTTTAGATTTTAAAGCACAATTTTCAATAGTATGCCGTCTCCTTTAACATATTTGCTTTCTTAGTACGTAGAGGAGTGGAAATCCTGTGCAGTATTATAGAATAAGAATCCATAAGAAATAATAAGAGAGAGAAAGGTTTTGTTGAAGCGAAAACGTGAAAACGTGCTGCCGAATAAATGGAAGCAATAACGTAACATACTAAAACAGAGGGGCGGAATTGACTGCAGGAGCAGGAGCAGGAGCAGAATTAGCTTGAAGTAGTAGCTACCATTACGCTCAGATCTTGCTTAGCTAAGGCATCCAAGCAATAGTATTTTCCATATATACCGTAAGCTAAATTCTTATGATGTGAAAATAGTAATGTCCAAGGGCCATACCTGATTGACGATCGTGCCCAAGATAGTAATAACAGCAAGTCAAGTACTTGGTCCCTTCAATGGAGTACAGCGTCCAGTTGCACCAACTCATTCGTTTTGAAGTTACTATCAGGCTGCCAGGCTGTACGCGAACTATATAATGACAGAGTCGCTCCAAACTGTTCAGCGTTCTACGACTAGTTTTATGATTGTTTAACATGCCACCTTTTTCGCCTGTTTAGAAGGCATTTCTTTTTCTCCATGGTGGTGATCTTGTTGAATCTGAAATACAAAGCTTACCGCATCTGTTCTTTCAATTTCCAATCAATAATCGAGTTGAAAAGTAAACCTTGCTCAAACTTCGGCCACCCATCACTTACATTAGCGCAAAGCTTCCTTGCCGTGCATTGCAACGATCGAAATTATCTTCTCAGCGATTCTATAGAGAGATTTGTTAAAAGATTATAAAAAATTTAAAGATAGATTACCGTTACCTCTATGCTGACAGCAATACTTAAAGGTATTTACTTATTGGATTCATTTTTATTTTTACTCCAGCTTTATTGCTATCCATTAGCAATTTGTTTTTATTCCGTTTACATTTCTGATGCAGGAGGGAGGGTTTGAACAGCAGACAACAGAAAATAGCTCAATACGATCTAAAGTGCTTTACATATATATGATGGATGTATAAGTTCGACAGACCATGCGATACCTAGATGTGGATATAACGGCAACGACGACCGATTTACGAGTCGAGTATATCGCAACTTCCAAAACTGCTTCAGGAGAAAATATTTCCAGCAACCTAACCAACTGCTATTAAAATTAATTTGAAACGTGCTCCGCGAAAGAATATTGATAAACCTCATTGAGAATCCTCTAGTTGCGGAACAAAGTTCAATGATTTTCTCTTATGCAAGCAAAGTACGTTAGGTGTTAAGTATCTACAACTCTCTCTCTCTCTCTCTCATTGTAACAGTGAATGTAATTTTTAGTTTTTTCTTATATTTGTTTTTGCGGTTTCTTAACCGCACTCCGGAACAGCCAACTCGCAAAACACTTTCCCACCTCCCCGTTCCACTGTCGTCGTCTATTCATAGTCCTTAAACACTTAAACACTTATAGCAACTACTCATTCTCTCAGAGGCTTGTCATGTAAGAATAAAATCCGTACTTACTTCAGTAAGGTCATACATAAAACATCGGCAGAATTCAAAATTCAATTTTTTCATTATCATTCACCTCCATCATAAACAAACTACTATAAATCTATTTATATACATATGAGAAAAACTGACTTTGATTACAATCAATGCAGTCACTAAATGAATATTAGATCATTGCAATAATAATTAATGATAATAGTAAATATAAATTCACATTTGCTGACAGACAGACATGCCGGTTGACATACGAAATCGAAACCGTTTAAATTGAATTCACTCTATTTGTTTTTTTTTTTTTTTTTTTTCTATTTTCTGTTCAGTTATGCTTTATGCTGTATGAACGCGAGTTTGTTTTTTTTTTTTACTTAATTTTATTGAAAATTTTCTGCATTAATTCCATTATAATAAATTTTCAACTACCTCATCATTATTATTATTATTATTAACATTATAATTATTTAAACTTAATGTCGAGTCAATCCTTTCACTTGTAATAAATGTCAATGGATTCCGTGAAAGTGAGTTTTTCTCATTTTGGATTAAGCAGTAACCGTGACAATAATTGCAGCAACGATAATGGCAACGATAACTTTCGGTTTGATTAATGTAAACAATTCAGTTTCATTTATCCATTTTATCCATACGCTATCCATGTTCTAAAGGATTTTCATATGTTACGCAACTCAACTGAATTACTTTGTAAAATGCATCAAATATTCATGAAATACTAGGCACCGTTAATTTCACTAACGAGGAGATATTTTCATTGAATCTCCTTTAACTGGCAGTTAAAATATATACTATACATAACGTTAATTGTTACTTAGATTATTGTGACTGAGTTTTCACTTATTGTAATTGATTTTGTCATATGTTGTGAATGGCAACCTTTGTGAATTTTATTACCCATACGATTGCTTTCATCAGTTGTTTTATTCTTTCTTTCTTTTTTTTTTTTTTTTTTGTTACCTTTTCTGCAATTCTATGCTCAGGAAATGTTTCTTTCTTTTATGTGTAGCCTTCATCTAAGGCACCATTACCTCTAATTACATAAACAAGTGTAATTTTTATTTGCAAATTCTCGTCATTCTCTGTTCGGTTCTCGCCATTCGCATTGCCGCACTGCTGATCTCACAAACTCGGCTATTGGTACAATTTCTCGATTGGATTAATTTTCTACATCACTTTTAAGAAAAACAACCGAGACATCGTGAACAATCTACGTTATGCTGTACGAGTAAATATCGTTTTACAGTTCGTCAAATGTATTCAATAAAGTGTTTTAGAATGGCTGAAGGATTTTCAGACAACGTTTGAAAAATTCGAAATTCAGCTGAAAAATATAATTTAATTAATTTACGCTTTATAAAAATAGTTTATAACGTTTGCAATAACAGAGTACTTTTGTGCTTTCAGTGATGTTACTATGGTAATGAAATTTCTATAACAATTTATTTTTTATTTTATTTGTTTTACCTAAAACTTGTTAACCTGTCTCCTGTAACCTAGCTCTGTCTTTCTGCAATCCAACTGTAAAACAAATGAAATCTTCACGTTATATCTTGTCTTGGCCTTGATCGTACCCTCTTATACACTCGGAGTGAAAGATGAGCGAAATTATATTTTTAAAATAGATATGCATTTGCCATAGTCAGTCCATGCTGGTTAAGACTGAATTGCATATTGTATAAATTGTGAGGGCTTTAGCTAATTTTCTGGCCCAGTGACACCAGCGGCTTTGACTGAAAAGAATTTTATGTTTTCTTTGGCTGTTTAAAGCATAGTTTGACTTTTCAGAAATGTTCACTGTGCTTATTCATTTTTCTTACTTTGCTTACGAATCATTAATAAAATCTATTCACCTTGTTGTTTAATTTCTCTTACTTAACTTGGAATTCATCAATCTGTTGCATATACCAGTTCAGAGCGTTCTCTCATTATTCTTGTCTAATAATCAGTTTTCCTTTTCTGCCTTATTCGCGTTGGCGTTTTCGGCTCTTCCCTGATATTGGCTCTCTGCTATTCAACCGGACGGGTACTGTCCCTCGATACGGACCATTTGGAGCCACCTGTTTTACGGCTCCCGTCAAGGTTGCCGTTTGGCATATCATACCATATCCCAATCAGAAATCTCTAGTCCTTTACTTAATCCTAATTCTTAACCTAACTTAGCCAAGCACTCCCCCCTCAGAGACAAAGAACCTATGAAGCGAAGAAAGACAGACTACTTTGGCTCCTCGCAAAACATATACAAATAAATTTAAATCTTTTGATTTACTTTTTCAACGAATTTACGTCATAAGTTAGGTGGAAGTGCAATATTGGTATGAGACAAAATCAAAGACTACAACCCGAACAAACTGTGCTGCATGCATGATTTAAAAGCATACTTTTAGGAGATCAAATTTACTCATTGCTTTGCAAGCAAGCAAAGAGTGAAATTGAGTTTGCGGCATTCACCAAACGCACGGCATCTCCAAGCGAACAAGGTGAACAACCAGCTAAATACCTATGACAATCATCGATAACGTTCCGTAACCCATAGAAATCAAAGGCAAGTAAATATTTGACTTGCAATTTTCAGGATACTTGTAAAACAATTTCAAAAATTTTACGACTTAAGATAACAAACTGTATGTCACTCCGTTTTTGAGACTTTGAAATATAAACTTAATCTAAGTGGATTAGCCGCCAAACTCACCTGACAATATATTCTCCGGCTTTCTGCGCTAACGTTACCAGATACTTCTTTATAACTAAGCAAATATGTATATAGCCGTTTAGGAACTGCGTAACGTAGCGTATTTATGCCATTGAAAACAGCGAAAGTTTGTCACTTTTGCGAACTTTCTATGGTTTTCTGGACTAGTTATAGCCTAGATCTCGAACGAGGCGAAAACTTATGTAATGATTTAATGATTTCGTTTGATGTCTGACCATTTAAATTTGTGTTCAAACTACAGGTCGCAATTTTTTCACGATAATTTCATGAAATTTGGTACACTGACGTGCTTCGATCCAAGCCAGAACGCTCTCGGAATTGATCCATTTTTTCGACCTCTCCCCATATAACGTGTTATTTTGAAAAGGCGTTATATGCAAAATTGCCATTTTGTCTAAGTAATAATTGATGTGAAAATTTTGGGCCGGCTCGGGCAATCTTTTGAATCCCACTCCCAAAACGAAAACCGAAGTTCATAATGCAAGAAAAGGTTTAATTTTCGATTTTTTTATGATCAAATTTAAAGAAAAATTTAATTTCACCAAATTTTGACAAGTTCGGCGTTATTTTTTTTTTTTTTTTTTTGCATATATAAGGAGTTTCACGGAAATTAGTCGTTAGGCAGAAAGATCTAAATTTTCACATAATATCTTGAAAATGACGTCTACAGCATTTGCATCTCGTACGTTTATTTTTCTATTTAGAATTTTTGCGACCTTTTTATTTTTTGTTTTTTCGAGGACAGAAAAGTCCAAGTTATTATTCTGACCCATAATAGTGATTTGACATAAAAAGTAACTGTTCTGAATTTGGAACGCGTACCATAATTTTTGAGTCACTTGGACATAACTGTTCCTTTATTTGCAAAGGCTCTAATTTTTAATATAGTTTTGTCATTCATAGATGTGTAATTTTTGTCTTCTATGGCAAAAATCAGAAGTATGTTAGACAATGTAGTAGTATAGGGTTTGTAATAGTCGGTCTAGCCCGAATATGTAAGTTTTCTCTTGTTTTTAACTGATTGTGTTATGTTTGTTCACCTTTTATTCCACTTAGTGTATGGCGTAAGTGTTCTTATTTATTAAGTTCAATATAATAATTATTAAGATCCCGGAATGTATATATATGTTAAACTCAAAATCTGAGCTAGATTCGAAGAGAGAAAAACAAAAAGAGAAAATCAGCAGCCCATTCTCGATGAAAGCTTCCAATCAATGCTGAAAATATGTTTTGATTGTCGATAAAATTTTACATGGAAATGGTATCGAATGATGCTTTCACACTTTGAAAGGTGTGCTTACAGTATCTGGGAAAGGACTAGCCAAGGATTCATTACGAGACGAAATGAGCCAGTTAAAGTTTTAATTAAACGATAGCCGAATGTTAATTAACATTTGACCTGGAACAAGTCAAATTTGAACGACGTCCTCAGTCTTCATGCTTATATATAATTCAAAATCTTCCATTTCTTCCGTCAAGCATATCGTAAAATGAATAGACATGAACCGGGTATATCTTTAAAATTATTTCAATTATTTTCCTTATACTGTTTATTAGATAGATAGATATATGGTGAATCAATTTTTAATATCACAACCATTACAACTACATATATTATAGCATTTGTTACTTAACATTTTATTGATTTATTTGTTTCTCGCTTTATCTAGCTGAACGCCTTTTAGTGTTATCGATGCAGTTCTTTAAATCTATGAAATTTACAAAAGATACATATATATATATATATATATATATATAGTAAATATAATGTTCAACATTTATTCGCACGCAAATGCATACCTTGGATTTTCGACACTGTGACGTCTCGGATGACGTTTTTTTGTATTATTATTATTATTATTGTGATTTTTCTCCTGATCTTCATCTGAAGTCGATAAATGTTGCAAAATATTTCGTTGCCGTTGCATGTTATGTTCATTGTTAGAGCGATTGTTGACTTGTATGTGCTTTTCATTATTTGGTATCGCATTTCTAATGCCATCGGATTTAATCATATTCTCGCTGGAGCTATTCTTTTGAAGATTTCGCCTTCTACGTAAGGGATGATAGCGGAAACTATCCTCTTGCACTACTAAAGTACCAGCTTTGCTAGTGCTGAGGAAATAACGTGGATTATAACAATTTGTTTGTTCCGCTTCTTCGCCGAATTCGGGTGAAGAGAAGCGTCCCTTTTGATAGCTAAAACGTTCCAATATTGATACAGAATTAGCATTTGATGAATTGCAGGAACTCGATGAACGTCGATAACGTCTTTTTTCCCGCACACCTGACGAAGTTGAGGTAGGTGTTGTAGAATTAGGTGATTTAGATAACAATAAAGGCATATGAGATTCTTTTATTGGATTCTCCTCTTCGGTTATTACTGTGAAGCGGACTTCCTTTAATGAGCTAGATCTGCGGCCATCTCTTGTGTCCACACTTAGAGATTTACGGCTGTGATGGCTGCGCGTACTATTCGATGAAAGGTGTTGACGATCAGGCGAGGGTGTAGCTTCTTGTATATGCAAACCGTTAAATTCACTTTCCAAGCTTTTATATATGGAATGCGTTAAAGATGTATGTCCGGTTTCCGTCTCCGCTAATATCATTTCATTTTCTTTATAGATTTGCTCATCGTGATCGCCTTGGGCATCAACCAGCAGCTTACCTTTATGATCGTAAAGTAATATTCGAGGTAGCGCTATATTTGAGCATGATTTTGATGTACTTAATTCCCATTTCCAGCTTGTCGGCTTACGCAATTTCAAGCTCAATATATTATTAAAATCGCACGCATCGCCATCGTTATCATCGTTATGATAGTTATTGCAATCAATGGAATTATTATGAGTTTCAGATTTTGATAGGTTCGAAATCGAATTTGAATTTGAATTTGATTTTGAATTTGAATTTATTGATAGCGTTTCATCGTTAATGTAGTTTTTCAATTTGTTGAATGCATTATTTGAATGAACGTTGCGTCGTTGCGTCTCCCCAAACAAATCTGACATTGTTTGATTGCATTTGCCACTTACAATGAATGAGATTTTCAAGAGCACTTCTAATGACATGGGACCCGTTAATGCAAACGGAGCGGATCACTCTTGTCCTCTAGTGCATGTAAATATCTACACATATATATGTTTATTATATATATATATACATATATCTATATGAAAGTTTATGTACAGAAAATTTTTTACACATGAATGCTTATGAGTAATGAATCAGTTTCTTTAAATTAGCATCACAGTGGCATACACAACTGCTTTTTAAATTTGTAAAAATATCTATATATATATATATACATATATATATATATATACATATAAATTGAATTGAATTGAATGATACACAAACACAAACACACACACACACTCACTCGCGATTCTTTCGTTTAATTATTTATTTCATTTAAATGTATATATATATATATATATATATATATCTTTTTAAATTATTTTTAAGATATATATATATATATGTTTTTATTTCTCATTTCTGCTTTTCGCTTTTTATTTCCTAATCCACCTGTTGTTTGTATTTTGTATTCTATGTCACCAGTATGACTATCATCGACCCCATCATCATCTGTTTACATTGTTCATAAATTTACGGAAAGCTTGCTCCCTCAAAACCATCTACTTATTTTCACAAATATGTGTGCATATATATATGCGCGCTCACTTTATATAGTCGAGCTGGATGGGGGACACGTATTGAAGATCAACGTTAACCCGCTGGCTTTTAGCCAAATAACAAAATATTTTTTGTGTGTTTCTCACTTCTAATGAATCGGTAAATTTTTATTTTTTATTTTTAGATTTAAACTTATGAGGCGATGTTATCTTCAATACGTACGAGACAATGTATACGTATGTAGGGAGCGGTAGTTAAATGTTTTCACCGCAAGCCCTATATAATTATTTAAATATATGTATAGTGAAGTTGATCTTTGCAATTGTTTTTCCATTGGCTTTTCAAAACACTTGAAAGATCGTCTTATTCAAGTGATTTTTTATTATTATTATTATTATTATTATTTTAATTCTGGTAACAATTTTATTGATTCGTTGAATACAAGAAAATAAAGGAAAAAGAGAAAAAAAAAAAAACGAACTTTCACTTATTATCTACAGCAATTCGTTTGCAGCCGTTTATTAATCAACACCGTATGTGACATGATGCTCACCGCATATAGGTGCACACGTAAATAAATGAATGTCTTCACCATTTTAATTTTGAGATTTTCATTTTTTATACATTTAACATACTTTAGAGCTTTAGAGTGAACGTGTGTCCACTATCAGACGTTTCCCTCAACTACTGGGAGCGTGTATCTCGCTGGTCAGCATAAGTATGAGATTTCATTCGATTTCATCGTATTTTTATTATGTTTTGTTGTATATACATCTGTGCTCTTGATGAAACGAACATCTTTTATGCATAGTATTCTGTATTATTGTCTATAAGTACGCAGATCAGCAT